GAAGGCGGGAAGCAGAGAGGGCAGGTGGGCACAGCAAGCACAGGGCGGATGGACGAACAAGGGCACGGAGATGGCATGGCACAGTGGTCACAAGGCAGGACGAAGTGCAATGCCTTAGCCCAGCACAGACATTAAGCCCCAGGACCTCGGGGCTGGTGCGGTGGAGCGGCCCCGGAGCTAGGCGCCCAGGCAGCCGGCACTGGGACCGCGCATGCGCACCTGGCGGCAGACGCGCGAGCGCTGCCTAGTCAGTTTCAACCCACAACGGAACGGAGGTCCAGCTCTTCGGCTCTTCCACGGCGACCCTGCCTTCAGCGGGGCTGAGGCCCGCTGGTCAGATACAGTGAGGCCCCAGGGCCAATGGAGTCATGTAAGGACAGACAGGGGCTTGCCTATGTTTTTTAATGTGGGTCCAACCCTCTGAGTCCCCGCAGCCCCGGCTCCCCCCGGAGAGGTGGCAGATGCTGTCTCCCTGGGCACTGCAGAAAGCAGTTTGTAAGCTATTGCTTACCTCAGGGAAGCAATAGCTTGACCCACAGTTGCTACAGGGCGAACAGCTCTCCCAGAACAGACCTGTCACCCTCTCTGGCACAGAAATGTACTGCTCCTGCGGTGTGAAAAAGGGAGCGTGAAGTCACAGGTCTGACCCTCTGCAGGTGCTCTTGTAAGAGTAGCGCTACCCTGGCCAAGGTCCTGCAGACAAGGACTGCTGCTGGCTTCCACGGGAAGGACTGCAGCCCTGGGTAGCCCAGCAGCCATCCAGAGGCCTTTGGAGGCACCACAGGCAGGATGAGGTAAGTGGGCAACCCACACGCCCGGGAGCAGGCCTGCCATCCCTGTTGCTGGCAAGAGGGCCACAGGCTGGGGGAGTTAGCCAGGTACAAGGGATGGCAGTGGGAAGTAAAAGTCTTTGGCTACAGTGCCCTAGGGGGACACTTCTCCAGTGAGGAAAAGTAGAGGCTGTAATTCCTTATGCTGTAATTAAAAGGAGCGCACTAAAGCGTGAGGGGGACACAGCGCTCTGTGACCTAGGTGACAGGCAAGGACCCTGGGTTTCTTCTCCTGAAATCCATGTGCCCCATCCTTCAACCATGTCGTCTTTCTGGATCCATGTACTGAAATTACGACCAGGGGTCTGGGGTACAGGGTGAGTGTGTGTCCATGTGTGACAGGGGGATGGGGAGAAGTGTAGATATTCAAGGTTTCCCTTTTCAAAGCACTACTGAAATCAGGGCCTTGCTCTCCCCTGTGATCCCCCTCCTTCCAGTCCAAATTAGAGAGACTTGGCAAGAAAGCTCAGCCATGAATCTGCGTGTGTATGTGTGTTGAGGTCGGGGTGGTGAGTGAGGACTGAGGCAGCTGCGTCCCAGAACCTAATCACTTGGGGTCACGCGGAAGGGGGGAAGGGGATAGGCTAGGAGTCCCCAGAGCTACAGGCCCTTCACACAACTCCTCTGCATCAGGGACCCGTTTAAAGAATCTACAAAGTGAATTGCCCTGCAAAGAGGCTCCCTGAGAAGCATCTCCACAACTGCTCTCTGGAAATGCAGAGCTGTCAGCCATTCTCCCCACACGGTCTGAAGAAACCCACCCAAGCTTGGAGGTAAAGCCGCTCATACAGCCCCAGGCCCTGGGAGGGAGAGGGCAGAAAAGTCCTACCCCAGGTGGCAGAGTGGTGGAGAGCCAGGCAACAGGCATTTGGGGAAAGGAGTCAGTTATCGCCTGTAAATGGCATGGCCACAGCCAGCTCTGCCCCGCAAAGGCAGTGATGCCACCGGCAGTGGCAGGTGAGAGGGTATCAGGCACATGGCCCTTGCTGGGTGAGATGCCGGCTGCTGGGCCAGCAGGCCGCTCTGTGCACAGGCCAGGTGGCCACACGCTGGCCTCAGACGGGAACGCAGATTGTTAAGTGTGGAGCTGTGTGAGCTCTGAGCGCTCATGATCATGGGCCTTGCGAGAGAGGGAGCGGAGGGCAGGGTGCAGGCTCATCAGCCCAGGGTGATGCTGGAGAGAGACCCTGGGCCATTCTAGATGGAGCGCTGGGCCATTCCGGAGTTCCAGGCTGTTCTAGATAGAGTCCTGAGCACACAGGCTCTGTGTCATAGACTCCAACCCCGGTCTTTGTACAACTACTTTCTTCTTAACTTAGCAGACCAGGAAAGGCCCTAAAAAGCACATAAATACAGGACCTGGGTGGCCACAGTGGCGGCAAAATGCTGCTCCCCCATGAAGTCTGAGCGCCCGCCCGGGAAGCAGGGGCTCTGCCCCGGAGGAGGGTTAGGGCAGATTTACAAAGCGCGCCGGGAGACACAAGAGCAGAGTGCACTGTGGTCCTTCTTGAGGTGGCAGATAACTAGTTTTTCCTTTTCTGAGCAGCCTTTCTCTTCTTCTGTCGCTTCTTTTTTCCTATCTTTTCTCTTTTCCCCACTTTTTCTTCTCTGCGCCCCCTTAGATAAAATTAGTAGAACCATTAATACCGTTGAAATAAACAGGAGTCTTTCTCAGTCTGCACAATATTTAAAAGTGGCCCATGTATTTGTTTAACCCTGTCTTTAGTCTCAGGCCTGGAGGCCCCCGGGCAAAGCACCGTCTGTCAGTACCTCTTTAAAATAAATCAAAAAAATGTTAGACGGGCTTCCAGAACACAGATACCCGTGAACTGATCTGAAAGGGTGGGAAGGCACGCCCAGGGCCAGGCTGGACTGGTCTTCTGTCTCACCCCAACCTGCTCTCCTAGGGCTTCTTTACATCTCAATGCAGAGCTGAACTCTCTGCTTTATCTTTAAAATCTCTGCATTTCAAATCGAATAAGCTTTGGAGGTTGGAGGCCCAAGGTTCAGATGGCCATCCAGGAGAAGAGAAAGAAAGCAGCCTGATCCCACCTTCTCTTTTCTGGATGCCTGTGCACACCCCCTGGGAATGACTGGGATTGTTCTGGAGAGCAAGGGAGAGAGCTGGTTAGCAGAATTTTATTAGAGCAACTTTATTAGAGCAATTGGCTCTTGACTGTCACATTAAAATGATTCAAGCTGAATGGTATTTAATGATTTATGGGGTAAGGCCACCTGTTCCTGAGAAAGCTTGATATTAGCCATGGGCTGGAATTATGGGATTTTTACATGGGAAAATGTGAAAGCTGGATATTATGAGGATTGAGTCTCTGGAGATTACATGGGGATGTTAGGAGAACCAAGGAGCGGTAAGAAGGGGGAGAGGAATTAGTGATTCAAATATTATCCTTCAGAAAACTAGCCCCATTGCTTCTACTGGGTTTAAAAAAAAAAGACATAAAAACTTGAGCTGCAGACCTAATCTGCTCCTGAGCAAGGCCCATGTGCTGTCACTTGCATGTGAACTCGGCAGGAGGGATGCAAGGCACCTGACCAGCAGGCCAGCTTATCTGAATAAATTCCAGAAATGTGTGTGAGCCCCATGTCTGACAACTAATGGACTTCACCTCAGGTAAATAAATTCCCACATACAGTAGGAGGTTTATACCATGAAACAATGAGCATTTTATTGCTAGTGCATATAATGTCACATTTGATACAATTTTAGTACAAGTGAAAAAATACACTGTGGGTAACATTAAAAAGCTGCAGTCACACTTATATATCATATATATTTCTTTACAAATCGCCAGTAGTTTACGGTCATAGAGAAATGTAACCTACTGACATTCATATGGCTCCACTTCAAATATAGGAATTGTTCGACTATAAATATATTCTGAAATACATTTGTTTACTAAAGTAACGTTTAAAAAATTGTGCATGAAAATATATATAAAAAAATGCCTTGCAAAAAGTTACAGACACCACCAGGCCCATCTGTGGATCACATTTATGCAGGGGATTTCATCTTGCCAACATTTCTGATTGGAACCTGAAACCATCTTGTGGCTTCAGGAGGAGGGGTTAGTGGCAAGAGGCTCGTTGATTCATCTATTTTTTCACTTCTGATTTCAGAAACCTCAAAGTTTGTAGAGCCTCCGTGGCATACATAGGTTTCAGAGGCAATCACAGAAACCAAATTCCTCAAAGCAAGCTCTCAGATTGAAAACTGCATTTGATTCTGCAAAGACCATCTTTCATGGGAAGGAGACATGATCTCATACCCCCAGCAGAGGGCCAGCCCCGCTCTGGAGGAGGCCAGAGAAGGATCTCACAGAGGGCCTGCAGAGGAGGGGAGGGCAAAGGGAGGAGGGGGCCACAGGGTGGGAGCCCCTGCGGTCACCCTCCTCCAGCTGGGTGCGTAGAGAAATGAGAAGCAGAAGCGAGATGAAAGCATATTCTGGGAGGCAGGGAGAGGCCGGGAGTGGCCTGGAGAGGGTCTCTGAGCACAGTCTCCAGTGATGGCGGTTCTACATGGAGCCCACCCATCCAATCACTGAGCTTGAAAGAGGAGGCGAAGGTAGTGGCCGCTGCCTAGCACTGGTCAGCATGTGGGTTGTCATTTCAGGAGAGGCACCCCCTGCAGGAGTAGCCCACAGTCTTCCTCCGAGCCTCAGCGTCTGGAGGAAGGATGCTTATCTGAGCTCCCTGCTTGGCCATCACCTGACTGTGCTCAGACTCCCCCCGGGGAGAAAAGGAGAATCTCCAAAACAAACCAAATACAAAGCTTGAAGTAATCATCGATTTTAAAAAGGGTAATGAGAATGATGATGATTGTGATGATTATGAGGGAATGGACTGGTGGGAAATGCTATTGGGATGATACAATTTCTTAGAAAAACCCCAGTTATAAAACAGCCAATGTGAAAGGTACGGGGCACAGATGAACACACGCTGCGATATTGTACCGTAGGCTATAAATGCAGTTGTCTACATGCTGGACAAACCTCTCGCCCGTGCCCAGGTCAATGCGCTGCCCCCCCAGGCACACCTGGTCCTCACCGTTCAGGCCTTTCTCCCCCACACACCTTTGCCCTTTCATCTCACATGGGTTTAGCTTTCCTCAAGTGGATCTAGTGGAAAGTCCTTTTTGGTTGTTGTGCTTACTTGTTTAAAGCTTTCTCCAGGTATTCCTGAATCCACTTCAATTTCGGGTCGATGCACACTTGTCTGTTGTTGTTCTTCAGCCTTGCCCTGGCAAAACAGAAGAGGCGACAGTGTGCAGCTGATCGGAAGGGAACATGGCTGTGACCTGGACATCTGCTCATCTGACACCCAGGTTAGGACCCAACTGGAGCGGGGTGCCCCGCTTGGCAGGCTCAGGCTTGGGAGGAACCCCAGGTGTGCTGGGGAGACAGTGCTAGCCGTGCTGCAAGTTTTACCCCAGAGACACTGGGGAGTGAAGAAAAGTCTTTATGGAGTCCAGGGAGAATTCACACAGGGAACATTTGAGTTGGCTTTTGAAGGATAAGTAGGAGCTGGGCAAGTGAAGTAAAGGGGGAAGGAAAAGCAAGAGCAAATAGCCCAAAGGGGTAACAGTGCAGAGAGGATGTGAGGAATTTGGGAGACAGGATACTCAAGAAGCCCGCGGCCAGATGTAAGGGGCAAAGCAGTGGGGCTTCATCTGCAATTTTGTTTATGATGGGAACTTGTGGGGTGGCAGAAGCAGATTTTTCTTTTGATGGACCGTCCTGATAGTACATGGAAGACAGACTTAAGAGTGAGCCTAGAGGCAGGAGACCTACAAAGAGGTACCGCATAGTCTGGGGGATGGGGAGAGGTGAGAGTACAGTGCGGGGAGGGGCAGTGTGGGGGGGTGGGGGAGGGGAGGGGAGGGGTAGTGTAGGTAGTTTGCCAGAAAATGGTTTCCAGAGAGATTTTACAAGTTCACTGAATGTTCATGGTCTCATTCGTTCTTTGAAAGTTCGTACTGCACCTTCCTCCCAATTCTCACCTTTACTCAGAGCCTCCCTCCCTGAAGACTCCTGGAAGAGGACCTGGACGTGTCTCTGGATCCCTCTCCATAAAGCCCCTGGGTACCAGGTAATCTCAAGCAGCCCGAGGACACCACCGCCCAGCCACTCGGGGTCTAGGAGGACCTGTGCGGCCAGCACAGAGGCTCGTGGACACCAGGAGTCTTCACACAGCCTGCCTGTTGAGTCAACGAGCTGTGCAGAGGGCCTGGCTCAGAGCAAGGCGGATCCAGGTCCAGTTCTGGGGATTGTTGTTTATTAACGTGTTTGCCCGGAACGACATGAGGATTCTATCTGGCTTCTTCAGCCTCGAGGCAAGGGAACCCACAGAGTCTGCACTGCAAAGTGGGCCCATCCTCGCTGAATTCATTATCTGATTAAATACTTCTCAAAAGAGAGTATTTTATTACAGGCAAAGAAAATGAAAAAAAAAATTCGTCTTCTAGTGCCCTAAAGCATATTGTAAATGACAAACACATTCAAGGCAGCAAAGGCTAGAGAAAAAGAAAAGTCAAACCTAAAACCAGTTGGTGTTGGGTGGAGAGTCGTCAGATGCGTGTAGCTTTTGCTCCAACTGCTGTGTCCCCGTCCTGCTTTTAGTGCTGGGACTTTTCAGGAGGTGAGCTCTGCCCAGGAGACCCCGAGCCTCAACTCCCCGACACCTAGACACATGGCCAAGCTCGCTGTGAGTGACCACGGGGACACATGGGCACTGGAGGGCCGAGCAATGGACGGCCACGTGTGGCTTTCTTTCTGGACTTGGTTCAGCCTCCTGCTCTCCAGGAGAGATCTTAGTGTCTCATGTATGTGTGATTTTGGTATGTCTCGTTTCCCACATGAATAAAATCAAATGTTAGCAGCTGCCATCAACACCAGCAAAACTAAAACCTTGTGTGTTGGCTTTCAGAAAATGCAGTTAAGTGAGCTGGTAATTTTGAGTTTCGCCAAACAGTTTAAAGATGACTTCAACTGAATTTGAGTCTTGTGAGTTTGTGCTATGTGATAAAGGATTAAATTAGGGCACCAAAGCCCTGGAATTGGCAGAACTATTACTGGCGAGGGGCTGTGGCTAATTTACTATATACTTCAGCAGAAAGAAACTTTGGTGAATCCCATGTTTCTCCAGTCTAAGGGTGCATCTGAACGTGCTCCCATCTCTTGCACTAAAGGGAGGAAGCTTGGAAAGAAGAGGCAAGGACCCTCTGTGAGTGAGCACGGCACCAAGGGTTCGGGCACCAAGGGTAAGAGCAGCTTTTGAAACTCCTGCCTGGTGGTACAATCAGCTGCCTCTAATTATGCCAGGTTCGAGCCTTGGACACTCGGCATGTGTCATTTCTCTAGCTTTAACAAGTCTGTGAATTAGGTGTTACTATGCCCATCAAATGTAACATCCCTGGAGGAGGATGTTCAGACTTACACGATCTGAAGGGCACAATTCGGAGTGTTGAGGATTTTGAGATGCTTGACATTGGCTCTGGCGACGTGGCTCTCAAAGAATCGGCAAGGGCATCTGTAGCTCAGGCTGACCGGTTTCCCTAGAGAGGTAACGAGAACAAAGCAGCTTGTTATTATCCTGCCAGGCCTTGGGGATACAAGTGTGTCTGAGTCTGCAGCCGAGTGATCAGACGGTGGAATGAGGGTAGGATGGGGAATGATGGGAGGAGTCATGGGTGCATCCTGGCAGAGACCTTTTCCTTGGGCAGCACAGGGAGCTCTGAGTGGGCTGAGGCTCAGCTTCTACAGGGCAAGAGGCCAGAAGGAGCTGAGGAGAGCTGGACCTTAGGAGGGTAGGGAAGCTAAAATCCGAAGGCCCCTGCTCGGGTGTCTCAAGATAAAGGACATTAATCACAGGAGAGAACTGTTTCAGTCCAAGGTACTGAGGTTCCCAGTTATTCTTTGCAAAATAAACTCCTCCATGGCCAACTGAGAAGGACTTCCCGATTCAGGGAACAGGGAGGGGAAAGAAGGAGGCTCCAGGCTCGCTCTCTCCCAGGAGCCACCGCAGCTCTCCTGGGAATGCTCCCCTCCCCCACCTCCTCTGTCCTCACATTTACCTTAAGCCCAGGCAACCACAAAAGAATCCCACTGGCTTCCTACCTGGGCGTCCCCAGAGGGCAGGCAAGGGCCCATCTTTTCCCCTGCGCTTCCAGGGCTGGAGGCAAACATGGCTTTCATTGCCTGTGCAGGGATGCTCCAGCCTCCTGGGTTGTATTACATCTTTGTTTGCCAATTCACCAATTTGCAAAATGCCATAATTGACACTCATTAGTGTAAATTAGCCAAGGGCTCCTGCAGAACCCACAGCTCACCCTGGAAGTCTAGAATTGCAAGCCCTGGGGGGTGGGGGGGTGGGTACTGACATTTGTGTGTGTGTGTGTGTGCGCGCGCGCGTATGTGTGTGCGCGTGTATGTGTGCACGTTTTCTGCAGATTTTATCCAAGCCCTACTTAATACCCCAGATTATTTGAATTTGTGGATCCTTTCGTCAGGGATTAAATGTAGGTCTGAGAATATTTAGTCCAGAGATTAAAAAAAAAAAAAAGTTTGCCTGTTTACAGAGCTCCCAGAGGCCTCCTGGTGGTTCTGAAGTTCCATATTTGGGGCAAGAGAGCTGGGGAGGCCTGTGAGTGAGGGACTTAATTTTTTTTCTCAAGGCTGAACTCCGTCAAGAGATGGCATGGCCAACAAGTCAGGGGGAAAGCAGACCACCTGGCCCCCCAAGACCAAACTCGACTCCCTGAAAACCAGGAAGAAGAAAGCCTGGCTTCAAGGCTCTCAGTGACTCGTGGCACTGGAGAGCCTGGAGCAGGTTTCAGGTTTACACCTGGGCTAAGTCCAGAAAGTCGCTGCTGGGGCCTGGCTTTTAGCAAGTGCACCGGGTCCCTGCAGAAGTCTGTATGGCCCTGTAACCAGATCACCTGGGAAAGTGGCCTGCAGCTGGGGGCTGGGTGGCCAGGGTAAAGGAAGAGCCAAAGTCTCCCCTCCGAGTGTCCTGCCTCCAGGTTCCCCTGAAATTCTCAGCGGTCCTTCAGAGCTGAGCAGAACCGGCATGTGGGGCCCACTGGTGAGGCAGGACTGGTCCCAACCCCAGAGCAGCAAACTGCAAGGTGCACAGTATGACAGCTGCTGGGGGCAGCGCTGTGCAAGGTGGGGGCTGCTCCTCCCCCGTGTCCCTGGGATGCTGTTCTGAGTCCATCAGCAAAGCAGTGGCGATCAGGCCAGGAATCAGAGCCCATTCTGAGCTCAGAACACAAGCTTTCTCTTTTTCTCCTCTCCCCTCTCCACCTCCTGGGATTATCCATTTCCTTCAAAGGCAATTTTTATTCCTGCTCCCAGGACCCAGTTGCCTGCCTGTCAAGTGGAGAATTTCAACAGGTTTTTTAAAGTGACAGAGCCCCAAGTGTTCTTACCAAGAGAGCTAGGTGCTGTGTCCACCTGGTGACCTTCCTGCCAGCTTTTTGTCAATATTACTAACTTTTCCAACTGTTTTGCATATGGCCCGTGCACAGGCAAGAGGCCTGACTGGTCCAGATGTTACCCGGGGCTCAGGGGAACTTGGCTTCTGGTGAACTTGGCTCTGCTCCGGAGCAGTCCTTCCACTCTAATGCAGAGACAAGAGCCCCCAAGCCAGCCCCTCCAGCCAGGCCTGGGAATGGGGCCCACTCTGACTTTAACCCCTAGAAGGCCAGGGCATCCGGGGACCCAGCTGCTTGGCTGAGGTTAGCCAATGGTGGGAGGGCAGGAGCCCGAGTCAGAGCCTGAACAAGAGGACCCAGCATGGGTACACAGGCTCCAGGTGGTCAAAAAGTTCATTCTGGCCTATGCGTGCAAGGAGAGCCCGACCAAGCGGGAGCCCAGGACCCTGACTTGGCCACTTGGCTGCCAAGAGGGCAACTCAGATGGGCAAGCAACCAACCCTTCCCAGAGTCAGGAGGAGTCTGTGGATGAGGCCCCCACTCCTTCTGTGCTCCCCCCAGGTCAGCTGTGCCCAGGACTCAAGGACCTGGGTCCTTGCATTCTAGTCACTTCTGCAGTTCCCCAGGGGAGGGGGCAGCTAGAAGAAGCACCATTTCTTCCCACAGCTGGATGATGACACCTCTACTCTCACCAAACCACTCAATTGTTAATACCCAAACCAGAGTGTGCCCCATGTCCTGGGCTGGGGGGTGTCAGTGTCAGTGTAAAGGCACAGGCTAGGTTACTTTTTCAGCGTACAGAAAAATTCTGAATCCCCTTTGGTGCCAGTCTCTCTGCAGCTCTGACCAGCAACTTGCTACACTTTTAAAGAACACTTCCCAGGTGGTCAGCCACCAGCCAGCGAGAATGCAACAGAGGTCTTCAGCTGGCACCTAGCAGACTGCTCCAGGGCCTGGGGTCCTGCACAGGCCTCAGCTGCACCTAGCAGACTGCTCCAGGGCCTGGGGTCCTGCACAGGCCTCAGCTGCACCAAGCACAGTGTCCTTCAACCCTTTGCAGGATTTGTTGGAAACTTCGCAGCCAAGAAAGCTTAGCATGGCCTGACCATGCTGACATGGTTTTGTTTTGTGTGTTCAGAGGCAACAGTTTATTTTGGTTTGCAGCAGTGGTGTCCTGTAACAGGGCAGTGAGATTTCGCTTAAGCCTCAAAAGGAAAAAAGCTCTCTTCCTCTCACAGTGAAACGGTACACCACCTTTCCCCATGGCCTAAAGCCTTGGCGATTGAACTTTGCTGCAGCGCTCACTCCGAGATAGAGTAGTGCTCGCCTGTGTGGCGACAAAGGCGCCAGCCTGCAGGTGTGTTTTGGGGGCTGGGCAGGCGCATGCATGACCCAGATCGCCCCTGGGCCTCTCCTGGGTGACCCCAGAAAGAGGCAGGGAAGGCACTGTCTGGATGCGCTTCCATCTTCGCCGCGTCGCTGCGGACCGCGTTGCGGTACAGAAGCGCAGCCAGGCGTTCGCCGCAAACCCGACAGCTGCTCGGAACGATAAGACTGCGAGGGACGCCTCGCAGCTGCACCCGATCGCATTGCCACCACAAGCAAGTCGCGATGCCAGACAGGCTTTGCAAAGCGCTCTCTCCAACAGGAACCGCAGAACGCATCTCCAGCGCGGTGCTCAGCGGGGCCTTGGCGCGGGCCGGGGCAGAGGAGCCGTGGCCCCGCACGGAGCCAGGAGCCCATTCTACTCTGGAAACCGAGCTGGGCCGCGGGAAGGCACTAGCTGGGAGGTGGATGGTCAAGGGCCAGGGACCCGCGGCTCCCGACTCGGCTCCACACCTCCGCGCCCTACCGCGCCGGCTCCGAAAGCGCCCTGGGCGCGCTCGCATCCAGTTATCCTGCCCGACCTCGCTCTGCAGCCCGCCCGAGGTCTGGCGGCCGCTCCCGCGTCCCGGAACCCGAGCTCGGCAGCGGAGTGCGAGCCTCAGCGCGGGGGGCGCTACGCTGGGGACCTCAAACGCCGCACGCCGAGGGAGCGCGCCCCGTGAGGTGGGCTGCCTCGACCTCCCGGGTGCAAAGCGGCGCGGATTAGGTTCGCTCGGGACGGCGCGGGGCCGGGGCAGAGGAGCCGTGGCCCCGCACGGAGTCAAGAGCCTGGCGCCTGCCCACGTCTCCGTCGCCGGGCGCACTCACCATCGCTGAGGCACAGCGCAGCCAGCACGAGGGCCAGCACAGCGACGATCTTGGCATCCATGGCAAGAGCGGGCGGCGGGTGGACGGAGGCAGGACGCGGACGGGATGCGACTGCGGAGAGTGAAAGTGCGGCAGCAGGAGGCGCGCGCCCAGCACTTTAGAGGCGAAAGCGGGGCGGGGTGGGGCGGGGCGGGGCGGGCGCGCGGCAAGGGGCGGGCCTGGAGCCGAATTCTGCCTGCGGCCCGGGGCTCTGACCAGAGTCCCCTCCCACGCGGCCGCTTCCCCGTCCCCTCCCTCCCACCCCTGCTCCGCGCCCGGGATGCTCCTGGGACTGCGGTGCGCCCCAGCCTTTGACCTCTCGGTTACGCTGGGCCCTGCTTTGTAGGCCTAACATGCTCCGAGGAAGCCAGCCGCTCAGTGAGGGTCGGGGATAGGACTGGTTACTGTTCCCATTATGCAGATGGAAAGATTGAGTCCCAGAGGCGGGAACAGAATGAGAACCAAGGAAAAACAAACAGGTCGGTCCTAGAGGTGAGGGCCAGCTAGGCCAGCTGCGTCCCGGGTAGCTAAGAGGATCCTTTTGGGGGAGTGTGGGACCTGGAAGTGACCACCGGCTTCAGCTCGCTGCTCCGCGGCCGGGAAAGCTGGGACTAAGGGAAACAGACTAGTCTTTGCAGTCAGAGCGACTCCGATTTGATTCCAAGCCAAAGCTATAACTTATTAGCCGAGCCTCAGTTTCCTCAACTGTGAAATTGAAGCTCTAAAATGGAGTGCTCTGCCACCAAAAGGAAATAATGGCAGTTCGCCCCGGAGGCTCTTAGTAAACGTGAGTTTACTTAGCCCTTTGCACCTCTGCTCTTTCCACTGTGAAATGGAATAAACCCAGTTCCCACCCCGCGGAGGGGAACTGTGGGATTTGACTTGAGACTCCCCTCCCAACCACCACGAAGTGCTCAGCACCGCGTCTGACACATAGTCTGTACTCAAGAAATGGAAGCTAGAAATAATTGTTTACACTTCAGTTATTTTCTCCCTCTCCCCAAAGGATGCCCAGCACCACCCGAAGTGATGAAAGAGCTCCCCTCTCCCCCCACATCCAGGAGGGTGCTCCTCGTCTTTCTGGTGCAGAGAACTACACCCACAGGGTCGTTTCTCGGCGGTGTACAGCCCTCCTGGCAGGTTGCCGCACCCTAACCTGGACACCCGAGATGGCCCCAGCAGAGCACAGGGTTGCAAGCAGGCGGCGGTCTGGGAGGGGCAGGAGTGAGAAGAGTGCCCTTCTGAGCCTCGCTAGTGGTCACAAGCCTCTCCGGCCACCTCCC